AACCTGGAAGCTTACATCCAAGAGGGGCCATTAACTCCACCTGGATTCAGTGAGCTGGTCCCTTCCCTGCCTTCAGATGTGGTTCCTGACTTCTGACTTTTCCACTCTTTGATACAAAATTAGGTCAACCTGTGGCTGACCCGCCATGGGCTTCCACTGACATCTCAGCCCCTGGTGAAAGCTGGGGTGAGGGGAAAGCTACTTCCTTTGGTCTTTTAGGCTGAGTCTCAAACTCCTGTAGCCTCTGTTTATAATACAGAGAAAAGGTAGCCCCTTGTAGACTTCCAACAAGTGTGATGTGAAGGAGGTCAAGTTGATCAATTCTTTTTGGGAGAATAGGGGAAAGACATTTCTTTGAAGGAGTTCATGTTTTGTTTCCCAATAATCGCTGGCTTTATATCTAGACAAATGGATCGTTAAATTCAACAACTTCCGCCCCCGCCCCTCCCACGCCCAGCACAGAGCCGGATGCAGGTCTCAAACCTACAAACAGTGAGATCATGACCTGAGCTGAAACCAGGAGTCTGAGGCTTAACCAACTGAGCCACCCAGGTGTCCCTTAGCCTAATTCTATCATCCAATTCCTTTCTCCAGTTCAACGTGGCCTTGCACTCAAGCTGAGTAAAATCTGGAGCTGAGGTTTTACCGTTTAGATTAGTTAGATATAGGGGCGCCTGGGTGGCGCAGTCGGTTAAGCGTCCGACTTCAGCCAGGTCACGATCTCGCGGTCCGTGAGTTCGAGCCCCGCATCAGGCTCTGGGCTGATGGCTCAGAGCCTGGAGCCTGCTTCCGATTCTGTGTCTCCCTCTCTCTCTGCCCCTCCCCCGTTCATGCTCTGTCTCTCTCTGTCCCAAAAATAAATAAACGTTGAAAAAAAAATTAAAAAAAAAAAGATATAAAAAGTTGTTAGGTTTGGTCGTTTAAACTTATTGTTGAAAATTATAAAGTGGCTGTGAATAACTTCGTATTGTCTGTCTACACGTTAAATGACTATACTTTTCCTAGGTTAACGATGAAATCAGGATTCAAAAGAAGAATCAACCATACATTGCTTTAATTTGGATATATTTTCTCCTTTAATGTATTAAGTCAATTTGAAATGTGTATGTGATCTGTTAGCTCCTTCCACAGGCGGATGAGGCCACTGCCCCAGCTTCTTAAAGTCCAACCTGACTCATACCTTCCTCATTTCCCCAGTGCCTCCCCACCCAGAGAGAGCCAGCCAGTTTAGTTCGCTGTTCCAGTCTATCAGTGAGTAAGCCCTGACCACCTTCTCAGCATTACTGCTTACTGTTCCATATATAAATCGTGCAGACAGCATAAGCTCCTGTCAAACTAGCTTCTTGCCTTCCCTTGAAGGAGGCACAGTACAGATTATTAGTCACAGTACAGATTACCAGCCAGTCTCCACCTCATGCATGCTGTTTCTCCACTTGGCAAGCCTCTCCCCCATTTCTACCTGGCAGAATTCCGCCCATTCCACAAGGCTCAACACAAGGGCTGCATTCCCTATCATTTTTTTTTTTTCTCCAGTGGAAGGAGGTCTTTTCCATACTTGAACTCCAATTTCACATTGTAATTCCCTCATCTCACCTGTAACCTTCACTATAGTTTTTATTTATATATCTTATATATCCTGATTTCCCTCATTTCTTATGCCATAGCACAGAATAAGGACTCCACAAAAAATTGTTGAATACATGACATTTCATTTTCCTTTCATCCATCTATTCATCCATCCATCTCATCATCAGATATTTATTGAGCATTCACTATATGCCAGGCACGTGTTTCTGACAAAATCTAAGTCTGAAGCTTATATGTGGGTTTCAATAGTCTATGCTATTCTCTACCCTCATGGGGAAAGATTTGTTGTTATCATGCAGAAGTATTTCTTCTTGTCATTACTAACAATTCCATTATTTTTCAAGTTGCCCCTCACTGGCAAATCTAGCAATGCACACAAAGATTTTGCGTTTGTGCACTAAACACACTTCTAGATTTGTCTTATCATTTCTATCTCTATTTTTAATTTATCCAAACTCCTCACTTTTTTTTCAGTATTATATGTGTTTTAATGGCCACCTCAAAATCCTTTTGAAATGAAGTAGAGTACCGATAAATAGAATACAATTACAAAAAAAAAAAAATCAAGTAATTGGTTCCAACTACTAATTCACACAATGAAACTTCCCTGGAGGAGCTTTTGCAGCAGAGAAGAATTCAATAAAATGTAGGTCTTCCTTGAACTCCATTCAAGAAGGCTAAGTTTCTTCAGTAATTATAAGGTGATCTCACTTTTAACATGATCCCAGAAAGTGGTCTTGCGGAAATTGTTAGGAAACACTAATAGAATCATTCTAGTAATTGACGGTATTTGAAACTGCATTCTGAAATCTGGGACCATTGCACAGAGGCTGGGAAACATGAACAAAACATGTCAACTTACCATAAGAAATCTTTTTCTATCATACTAAGTTTTTTTACTTATTTTTTTTCAAAACCAAGATTGCTAGGGAGCTGACTAACTTTAGAGAAATGAAGAGGCCAGGATTAAGAAAAGAAGGAGATACCATTTGGGAGAAATGGCTCCAGAAAAAAGAGCAGCTCATAGGATCTTCACAAAATCTATATGCCAGTGGTGTTTACCGAAGCGTGCGTTCTCTCTCCTCATGCTACAGAAATTTCGTACATCTGCCACCAGACTATTGTAACCTTAACACTCAACCCTCATAGTAAAAGGAAGCTCTTTCACCATGTTAAGATTTTGTTATTTTGCATTTATATTTCTTTTGGGAAATTTTTAATGAATACAGCCCCATCCCATCTATCTGGATATCTCAGGCTTAGCACGTTATTATTTGATTTAGGCAGATTTGTTGAATCTCAAAACTAGTTCAGAACCTTTGTATTCACAAAACATTCCTGATAATTAGCTTACGGTTCATTCCCATGACTATATTTCACAGACCAGCTACCGTGTCTTTATGGTCAAGTGTAGGGGAGAGAAGACACGGCATTGCCATGCATCACGTTAAAATGACAGAATGACCTCAGGGAACCAGAAATCTGAACAATTGATACAGAAAAAGAAGATCTAGAAAATAGGAGTTGCTTGAATTTATTGGCGTACATTGGCTATGGGTGTGATATGCAATTGACTTAAAAGCGTGTTAAAAAACTAGTTTCAGTTGACCTTTAATTTTAAGCCCAGTGCGCCATCCACAAGGACTCAGGCTTGGTGGTTTTGTCTGCGTTTGGCAGGCGTCAGAGCTGTGCCCTCCCTGAACTGGGAACCCCAAGGGCACAATGTTACACTTCTTTCCCTTCTCATCGCTTAGCCCTTGGTACTTTCTCAATCAGTGTTCACTGAGTGAAAAAATGGAATTTGCCTCTTCTCCAGAATCCTAAAGCATGCCAAGATGGCAGGAACCTCAACAGTTAAGAAAGAATACACTTCACATTAGTCGATGTATTCTGGAAAACTTTTGGCATAATGCTAGATCCGGGAGAGAGAGGGCACGAAATTTGCTATTTTGTCCCCCTTTCAGGAAACTCCCAAGAAGATTTTAGCTCGACTGAGACTGTGCCTTCATGTTTTCGCATGCACATCTCAGTGCAGCCGTGGGAATCCCTGGAACCCAAGAGGAGAGATTAGAGGCCATGTGCTTTCTTCCTGCGGCACGTTCTCTCACCTAGGTTATTTCCGAGAAAATTCTTTTAGGAGCCCCTCTCATGGCCCAATTTAGACCTTACTGGGTAGGTGTTTCTCTGGGCTTCAGTGAATCCTGCTCTGGGAAATAACAGACAAAATACATGTCTAAAAGGGAGCTACTCCAGAAGAATAAGGTTCAGAAGTGAAATGTGATCTCTTGGAATGTGATTACCTAAGTAGCTGTGCTTTCACATCTTTGTTTTCAGAGGAGCCCCCACCAATCAAGTGGTTGCAAATCTCAACAAACTGCACAATTTATAATTTTGGAAATCTGAAATAGAATTTGCAATGTGATCTCAGTGGCTGGGTCACTTCTCCTAGTAAAGATTTTTATCCGATTATAAAACAAACGGCCTACTTCTTCAAGGCATATTAGTGCCATGAAATCATGCTCCAACTTTGCCCTCTTTCATTATATCAGCAGGAGCTTAGGGGCTGGTAAAAGAAAAGGTATGACAGAGAGTTAATTTCTGCCAATGCCCTTCTGGCCTTCGCTGCAAGAGATGCTTGTTTAATTTTTTCCCGGGCACTTTGATGGTGCTTCTCACCATGTTGTGGGGTCTGTGCGACTGCTTTATGGTAAATCTGAAACCTCTGGGGAAATGGTCTCAGAGTCCCTAACCTTTGCTGGTTCCTGAAGTTCTAGTGTGGAGACTGAGAACCTTGGGGAATAAAAAGAAGCATGCGTCTTCTCCCATGAATTCGTTTTTGTGAGATCTGAGGACAAAGTGTTGCTGGCTGAGGAAGTGCTAGCACCCACCTGCCCACCCCCTGGGGAGCAGTCTTCAGCCCACCAGCGCTGAGAGGATCTTTGCCCTTGTGATCCCGGTGCCTGAAAAGCCGCCCTGTGCCCACACCCGCCTGCTTTGGCACATCTCCAGGAGGAGCTGCAGCCTCGGTGTGGCCCAAGAAGTTAGCCCCTTGCTTCTGGGGTCTCAGTAAGAAGCAGAAGGATTCAACCAGCAAAGCAAAGGCCTGGGAAACATTTGCTGCCATCAGCTCTGATGGTTGCACCTAAGATAGAATTTCTTGTAGCCTCCTGTTTAGTTTTTTTTTTTTTTTTTTTTTTACAAGGGAATCGGTGACGAAACCCAGGTTAGACCCTTCAGCAGAACTATCCTGAAGAGCAAAAGTAGCAAATGAAGGGCTATGACTGGGGACTGACTCTGGGGGAAGGCTGGAGTTTTGAAATGAGAGCCAAAAAATGTTTTCACCCTCTAGCCCACAGGTTAAGTTACTGAAAAGAAATCACCATCGTGTCTACACGTTTCTTGTGTGTTTACTCCTACTCTGGAGAGTAATCTAACTCATCATTTGCAATCAGGGCCTCTGAGTTCTGTTTGTGTTTGCTTTTGCTCTTTGCTTTGCTACTTGTCCGGGTGTTTGCCTTAGCATCTGACATCTGTTGGTAATAGAAGCCTTTGTCCTCGGCGGGCCCGCCCCAGTTCTCCTGGCTTTCGCCTTCGGTGGCGTAGGAGAAACCCTCCTCCACCGAGAAAGGGTCATCCACGTCGTAGCGCTGGTACGTGCTTTGGTGCAAGGCTTCTTCTCGAGCACTGATTTCCAGGGTGCTGTTCCAGATGCCATACCCAAAATAAATGAGCATACCTGCCGGGAGGGAAAGGCACAGGTGAATAAGCAGTTGCTTGGGGATCCATGGGACTAGCGGGGAGATCACTCAAATGGTGAAAGCAGGGCTGGGGGTGGATGTGTTTTCTTTGGTCTGCACAGTGTCTGGAAAAGACTCAAAGTGGGATATCTTGCATTAAGCAACCCTTATTCACACCTTTCCCTAAAAAACTCCGAAGGTCTGACAACCCTGTCCCCACATTTCTATATGACACTTTTAGCTGGAGGTGAGAACAGCTGCCTCTTCGGACAGAATGTGGGCTCTTTAGTCGCCTCTGTCCCCACGTCCCTGTTGACATCCAGCCCACTACACTCATGGAGGTGCCAACCAGGACTTTGAATTTTCCACCCTGGCTTAAATATTTATGGATCACCCACAGTGCGTCCGCAGCCTTCTTACAGTATTTTATTATCCCACGCCTCCACCAGGGGACTCCCTCTTTTATCTTACCACTGAGCAATGCGCATATATTGCCCTATGGTTTACCTTGACATTTTTCACTCACCAAAGGAGTATTATTATATTACTGCCACTCAGAGCTGTTTACTTTCTTCTGTGGGCTCTCAGAGTGTCTGGAGCATGCCACTGTTATGGCCCTGAGAACATCTATTGTGTGATTACCTGCACAGGGTGGTTCTGTTTTATAGACTCTGCAGAAAACTGGCGCTTAATATTTGTTGAATGAAAGAATGAGAACTCCTGATGAGCATGAATTTTCCAGTGCAACCTCCTTACTTTGATGTCATTCCAAGCCAAGGAAGGAAACGTGTCTTCCTAATTGATATGTAGCATTAATAAGGGCTAATGTTTCATTTCTATTATAATATTTTTGAAATAACAAAGTAGTTTGAGAACCCCCGTTTCCACCTTGAAAAGCTCATAAAGGCTCAGGGCCTGGAATGGGTGAGAACCATATCCCTGGGAGGTCATAGGGCATGATGATTAAGTCTGTGAGCCATGGGTTCAAACCCTGCCTCCCATCACTATTAGCTGTGTAACCCTGGACCAGTTACTTAGCCTTTTTGTGCCTCAGTTTTCCCTTTTAGAAAACCATAAGATAGACACTTATAACTTGGGGTTGCCATGAGGATGGAATGAGATAGGCAGTGGCTTTCAACCCTGGCTTCACCTGGAGGGTCACCTGGGGAGTTTTTGAACCGCCCTTATACCCAAACACCACCCCTGGAGATTCCAATTTAATTGGCCTGTAATATGATCGAAACATAGGTATGTTTTAAGGCTTCACAGGTGAGTCCAATGGTCAGCCAAGGCTGGGAATCCCTTAGCTCAGGAGTATAAACCTCCTGAGGCACATACTCCATTGCCGACTCTGGACACATTATGGCTTGGCCAGTGGATGGCACTCTGTTATGCAACCCCCTTCCCCAGACCCCAGACACCCTCTTCTGAGTGGCATTAGCACCTTTGACTTTGCTAACACAGCGGGCATCTGTAGAGCTGTTTGCATAGAACCTTAAGGTCAAGTGTGCTTTCCTCTTTGGTACTTGAGAAATCCTTCTCCCTTTTGAATTTGAAGTGTGTCTTTTTAAGCTTGGATTTCTCCCTCCCTGTCTCAAATGACTTTCTCCTCACCCCTTCCCCCACCCCCCAGTGAAATCAACTTTCCAGGAGCCAAAGTAAGCAGAGATTTATAGTCCTAATTGGTAATAAATCCTGGAGTTAATCATTTGCAGATGTAGCTATTCTCAAATAGCAACTTCATTTTTCTGAGCACGGATCTTTACTCTTTCTTGTCTGGGGGCGGAGGGTGGCCACGGGAGTAGTTATCATCCTTGTGTAGCACAAGGCATCCAGACCTCCTCTAAAATGGCCACTATGCTGCAGCTTGAAGAATGCCTGTTTTGGAAGCATGTTTGAGATCTGAGAGTAAATTTCAGGAGACTAGGTGGGATCAACAGGCACACACCTTTTTTTTTAATTTTTTTTTTGGCCCAATTTTGCTTTTTTGTTATTTTTTGTCTTCGACATCAAGGCAAGTGTCAAATCTTGCCTCCTATTCCTGCTTGGTATCTATTATATCAATTTTTTCCATCTCTGATCCCCTTCTCAGACCCTATTTATAAGCAAATTATTTCCCTACTGAACTTAATACCATTTCTCCCCCTTTTCCCTTTGCCCCTAAGTTCTCTGCTGTGCCATTACGTGGCTCATCATTCAAGCACTGGTTTGACATGTATTCCGACAGACCTTCCCATGCCCCCACCAGAATTTATGGAAATTCTCTAAGAGCCTCATAGAATCCTAGATATATAGAGCTGGGAAAGAGGCTGTGAATGAATGCAATACCTTCACTTTACAGAAAAAGAAACAGGCTGAGGGCAGAACCAGCATTCTATGTGGATAGAGAGAAGGCTCTTGCATACTCAGTCCTTCACATCTCTCCTCCGCAGGCTGGTGTATAGACTATGCATATCACAGTACATATTCAGTGAGAGGTTATGTCTAAAAAAACAAAAAGGGGCACCTGGGTGGCTCAGTCGGTTGGGCGTCCGACCTCAGCTCAGGTCACGATCTCACGGTTCGTGAGTTCGAGCCCCGCGTCCGGCTCTGCGCTGACGGCTCAGAGCCTGGAGCCTGCTTCGGATTCTGTGTCTCCCTCTCTCTCTGTTTTTCCCCTGCTCGCACTCTCTCTCTCTCAAAAATAAATAAAAATTAAAAAATTAAAAAAAAAGAGGTTATGTCTACATTTGTTGTTTGGGAATGGCTGAGTCTGAAGGGACGTGTGTGTGTGCATGAATGCATTGACTATGATTACTTTGAGAAAGCAACCTATGGAAATCTGCCATGTAAATATTTATGGGCCTTTTAATGTTTGCTCTACAATTTCAAAGGTGCATTATTTTGTCTTCTAAAATATATTTCAAATATGAGTGCTCTGAGCCAAGAAGTGACTTGTGCATGCAGCCTGATGGAATAAATGGTCAACCTGGGCAAAGGTCTGGTGTTCTGTCTGCCTTCATCCTTCTTGCTGGCTCTTGAGTAAATTCAAGAAAAGTGTTGTGAGGGGCGCCTGGGTGGCTCAGTAGGTTGAGTGCCTGACTCTTTATTTCGACTCAGGTCATGATCCCAAGGTCATGGGATTGAGCCCTGTGTCAGGATTTGCACTGAGCATGGAGCCTGCTTGGGATTCTCTCTCTCCCCACCCCCCCCCTTTCTCTGCCCCTTCCCCGCTTGTGTGAGCTCTCTCTCTGTCTCTAAAAAAATAATAAGAAGAAAAGAAAAGTGATGTGAAGCACTGAGGATTGAATAAAAGGAAAAATGTAGGGGGACAAAGAAACAGGAACAAATGAAGTGAGGAAGGGAGGGTAGAAGGGAGGTAGAGAGAGAGAGAGAGAGAGAGAGAGAGAGAGAGAGAGGAGAGAAGCATGTACTACCATCTGTCACACATAAACAAAGGCTTTGTGTCGGAGGAGTAAACAGAGCTGCTAAAAGCCTCCTGTGTAGAAGCAGGGTGTTTTGTTTCTGCTTTCTTCAGCTGGCTTACAAAACTAAGCATGAGGTAGTTTCTGAAAAGTCTGTGGGGATTCTGGGAATTCTGAATCATCTAAACTGAACTTCGCACAACACCTCCGGGTGCTGAGGTCCTAATGATACCTTCGTTATGTTGCGCCTTTCCCCCAAGGAGCTCAAAATGTTATACATATGTTATCCTGTTCAGATCCCTCCTCGCCTGTTCAGGAGTGTGTGTGAGTGTGTGTGTGTGTGTCTGTGCCCGGGAGTGGGAAGGTTGCGATTACGTGCGTCGCACAGACAGGAAAGTTGGGCACGGGACAAAATAAGAGATTTTCCACAGGAACATGGTTAGTGGTTGGACTGTGAATCCTTCAGGGTCTCTCCGTGTCCTGATCCAGGGTGCTTCTGTTATTTCTCTCACCTGCCAGGGCTATAGACTGATTGCAATCAAGCTTGCTTAACTTTTTAGTTTGAAGAATTTCAAACATATATCAAAGTGGAGAGAATAGTATAAAGAACCCCATATAGTCATCACTAGTTTGCTCCTGACCACCCACCGCTCCCTTCTCAGGTTACTTTGAAACAAATCCCTTCCATCCTATGCTTCACCTGTAAATAAGTAAGTACGTATATTTAAAACAGCATTCTTTTTTAAATGTTCATTTATTTGTTTTGAAAGAGAGAGAGTGCAAGCAGGGGAGAGGGAGAGGCAGAATCCCAAGCAGGCTCCACACTCAGCATGGAGCCCAATGCAGGGTTAGGTCCCACAAGATTGAGATCATGAGATCACGACCTGAGCCGAAATCAAGAGTTGGATGCTCAACTGACTGAACCACCCAGGTGCCCCTAAAATAGACTTCTTAAAAATACTTAACTTACTATCATTATCACATCTAAAAACTAATAATAATTCCCTAAGATTATCTGATATGCAGAAGTATTAAAATTTCCCTGAATTATTGTGCATGTGGGGGAAATACTCTTTACCCTATGAGGCTATAGACTTACTCCAATGATGCTATCACTGCTTGATAGAGTTTTGGGGCACTGTTATTCAAGTCGTCACTGGGGCTGGCATCATATTCTTTTGCAAACCGTTACAGATGGCAACGTTTATCTTTTGAGAGAGGATTCGCTTTTGGCCTAAGCCAGAAGTCATTTGGAATGAACCCTTAAGAATGAGACGGCTAATTGACATTTGCATATTTAATCCTGCTGTGTCTTAAAAACTTAGATCCATTGCTTTGTAGTTACACGTCTTATATCTGTGATAAATGAAAGGCAGGGGTGATGTTAAAAATCAGAGGGGGGTTAGCTCTTCTGTTGCCGTAGGGTCTTGGAAGCCCCCCTGGTGGGCTGGAGTTATTTTTTTAGGGAGAGGAGAAGCTCAGGGCAGCAACAAGTTAGCAGCAGGCACAGAAGCGTTTCAGTATTTTAAAAAACAGACATGGCTGTACCGGGCACATGGGCTGAATGCCAGCCTTGGTCAAAGGTAATGGCCACG